TGCTGGCTCTCCTTTTCACCGGGGGGGCTTCACATCTGACGGTATGCGTTTGGCTTTCACGGCCTTCCTTAGATGAGCCACTGGAAGGACGGACACGCAAAGACGGACTGAACGACGACAAGACCATGAATGAAAAACGTCTCAGATTGAAATCACAGTCAGGTACTGTGCTCAAAGATGAGAGTGCCACAGGTTTGTAGTGTTCATCTGCCGAACAGGTCAGGGTGTGTCGCAAAGTGTTTCGTGAGGCTTCTTTGATGGAAGTGCTGTGACTGTGCAAACAGAGGTGCCCATGGATTAACACTCAAGAGACACATAATAAAAAAAGTCCTAATGACTACTGCAGCAAAGGTTCTTGCATGCCTCAGCGAAAAAACGATGGTACTCAGTGTCGTCCTCCATGACTGACCGTGCTTTCGACACTGGGCCCTTGTCAGACCACGAGAAAGCAGCAGCAGAATGGCGTGGCATTTGGCTGCACATCTCGCTGAGAATGCTCACCTCGCGAACCCAATCTGACGCAACGAAGTTGCTGTCTGACGAGCCCAACAGGACAACACGTGCACGACTCTCTGACTGAGGCAAGGCATCGACAACCATCGTGGCATGCGTGTAGTCCGGCAAGTCTGACTGGAGAGCTTCTTCGTACCACATCAAGGGGGTCTGACGTCCACCCTTTATGCGAGGCTGCAAGGCGCCCAAAACATTCTCCAGGACGTAGAACTTCGGCCGGTGTTTCTTCACGAACGCAAGACTTTCAACGAAAGTCTGACACTCTGGCTTGTTCAGGTCGATGGGGTCTGACGTGTAACGTTCTGAGTTGGACCTGCTGTTCAGCTTGCAGGAGAAACCGGACACAAATAAGTCCAGGTTCTGCATGCTCGGGTCTGACAACTTGCAGCAGCGGTTGTGCACCCAGCACGGCCCGGAACCTCTGACGCTGTACTTGATGTCCTTGAAGATGTGGTCAACGTCGAACGTCTCAGTCTGACGAAGCATGAACATCGCCGGCGCCTGCTTCATTTCTGACGCGCATACAGACGCAACCTCACCCTTCTTCAGCATCTTGGAGACAACATAGTGAGGCAGACCGGTGCCATCGCAGCCGCCTGCCATCATCAGAGGCGTCTGACGTCTCAGGCCACCGTCGGTCTGACTCTGCTCCAGTCCGGCGTCTGACAGAAGACTTGCCAGGAAGGATTGAAGATCGAACTCGTCGTCGGTCCAAACTGTCTGACGGCCCTCGTCACCTGTGTGGCGTGGTTTCTTGGCTGCCGGCCGTTTCATGGCTGCGGTGGTCTGACCTCGTTTTGGGGCCATGCTGCCTGGGAATTCTCTGACAGGCACTGTCACTGACTGGGCTTAGGGATGCCTTCTGAGCCTCTTATCTCTGCGGCTTGATGCAGTTCGATTCTGACTCAGTATTAGTAAATAAGACTGACGTCCAGTGATTTCACAACAAGCCACGGCCTGCAGAAAAATGTCCAGCTCCAAGTCTGCCAAAACAGGACTGGCCTCAAAGCACTGCATCAGCTAGCACACAAGGCATCAAATAACAAGTGAACCCAGGGGTCTGTTCACAAGCCAGCAAAACAAAACTCATGATCAGACAGGCCTGGCTGACAGGTCGAAAAACACGTTCACATCATCTGTCTTACTCAGTGTCACCACCAGTGGCAACGAAGTCTCACGCACTGCGAGGTTCCAGGCATGAAATCATATGACAGGATAGCACATCCAATCACTTCAGAACTCCAAGTCAGTTCCACTGCAGTCTGACAAGCACAGAAGCTGGAATGCATGAGCGAGTCAGGATCCACGACAAAAGACATGTATTGAATTCCCCTCTGATTCTGACAGATACGCTGTACACATGCTGAGCTGAGCACTTGTCTGACATTTCCGCCAGCAAGGTAGCGATGAGCATCACTGCAAGCAGTGGCCTCGGGAGTCATTATAATTATATAATCTGCACTCTCATTCCTAGCGACGCCCACACCACAAAGGAACATTTGTCAACACAGTGACGTGAATCTGCTGAGTCATGCACTTCCGCGGAAGACGGTCTGACCTGACATTCAAATTTCAAAAGAGCGAGACAGCAAGTCAGTCTCGGGCCTAAGGTCTGACTCACACACACACACAGACACATATCGTTCTCGGAAGCAGAGTGTCAGGCCGATGGTCTCTCGCACTTCACCAATCCTGTCCTGTCAAGAGCCGATGCTGCATGACTCCGACCTGCCCTATGCCTTGGAAGAGCTCACAAGCGGCAAGCACTGGCACGAGATTGTTTCTGCGCTGCCTGCCTCCAAAATTATTTCTGACTGTCACGCACTTTGCGACGACAGTTGGGTGACGAGAATGACATTGTCACATGTCGTTCTCTTTGACCAAGGCCATGGTCTGACAGGCTAGGAGCAACATTGTCGCAGCTGTGGGAACCGAGGCCATGTTGGCCAGTGTGTGCGAACTGTATGACGGCTTGCACAGACTAAAGTCCAAACAGCAGCCATGCAAGCGGCTCGTCTCGCCCAACGTCATCTGTCTGACATCACGTTTTGTCTTAGTCAGCATTGTACTTCCAGGTGTCAGAAAAGAAGCCACAGTCTCCAGCCCGGAATCAATGACTCGCACCTTCTTACGAGCTCCATCCATGAACAGCGCACTCTGGTTGGCGGGCTTCATCCTGTCCAGATACGCGATCGCGTCCTGCAGTCGTTGCCGCTTCTGGCTGACAAGAACAGGCGGGTCGACTTCATGACTCCCGGCCATGACTGCGTCTGACGCTTCCTTCACGTTGCTACTCGATGCCGAAGAAGGTCGGGCAGCACCTTGCACGGGGATGTTGCGAACTCAAGGCAGACCCCCTTACACGCAACCCCAGGAAGGTCATGAGCCACGTCCTGCCTGAGCGAGATTGTTCATGAAGCTCGTCCTTGTCATACTTCTGCATTTTCTGCTCTGTCTTGCTGTTGCAACCACCATCAGAAATCCAATTTTCCAGGCAGCGGTGCAAAGAGGCATTGACGTCTTTCATTTTCTTGATGGTTTCGGAGCCCATGGACGGCTTCTCCTTGTCGCACCACCTTGGCACACAAAAGTGTATTCGCAACACGCCAATGGACTCTCCACTTCAAGCATGCTGAAACAAACATGGGCACATGTTAGCCCCGATGCACAAACTTAAGCTCATGACAATGCTGTGTCTGACAAGAGACATGCAGATGTAGCCTGTGGAGTCTGACTGCAGCAAAGCGGAGGTCGGAAACCAGTCCTGTAGCTTCAATGTCTTGCCCTCAAACACTGTGTTGGCATCCACGTCTGACGCAAAGGATAGCTCCATCGCTGTGCCTTTGTTACAAGGCACACTGAAGTGCACCACAACGACTGTGGCGGACTTTGTGGCTTCACAGAGGCTTGTCTGACGCAAGAATGCCCAGCTGTCCTTGTTCTTCCAGATTGTGTGTGCCAGCAGCATCGTCTGACATTTTTTGCCCGTGATGGTGTCTGACGAGTCTGACTGGTGCCCAAAACTGACCCACGGCATCGGAAACATGGTTTTCACACGAATGCGCAGAGCCTGATCCTCGTGACCGTGCTCTGACAGCACTCTGGGCAGGAAGTATGGCCGACTCAGGTCTGACAAGAGAGACAACGCGGCTGGCAGCTGATACAGGACGACCTCGTAATTTTCTTCGGATGTCCATGCCAGGAGGTCTGACACTGTTTTCACATCCATGGCTGCACACAGAATCGAACAACAAACACTTTCTTTCAGAGCCAAAGCCCGACTGACAACGACAATGCAAGGACTACAGTGACGAATCTCTTGAACCCCATGTACACTCTGCCACATCAAGGACCAAGGCAATGGCAAGGACACCATTTTGGCAGCCACAGTCTGTATCTGACGGCCGAGTCTCGAGTCATGATTGTTGTGCACTCTCTGCTGGCATTGCCGGGGTGCCGAACTTGAATGCAACATGTTTTAGCTGGCAGACTAGTCTTGTGCCCGAAATATTCTGAGGGTATTCAGGATCTTGGCCTTTGACCCTACACTATATAAGTGTTCGGGCCGTGACGGTTTTTCAATGGGGCTCAGTCCTTCGGTTTTCAGGAAGGCATACGCTTGAAGTATCTCTCCTTCTCGAGAAAGCTTATGATATTCCTGCAAACCGAAGGACCGAGCCCCGGGCCCCGGAAGATTTGTATTGTAGTCCGGAGGCCTCCGTAAGCTACCCCCTTTCCAGATATGATTCGCCTAAGTTAATGAGTCAGTAAGGCATACAGAAAACGCGCCAGGCAGATTTTCGGCGATCCTGGAAAGGTCGAGGCTTCAGGCCTGTCTTCAGCATCGACCTTTCCAGGGTCTCCAAAATATTTTTTTTGAGGGCTCGTTTTCTTTATGTCCACTTTAAATTAAATAAAACTATTCTGATTCCATAGGCGAATCATATCTGGAAAGCGGGTAGTTTACAGAGGCCTCCGGACATAGCTATAATTTGGGGTTAAGTTATACAAGTCTTCCGGGGCCCGGGGATCAGTCCTTCGGTTTTCAGGAAGGCGGCCGAAGCTTTCTCGAGAAGGAGAGATGCTTGAAGCCTGAAGCCTTGACCTTTCCAGGCTCGGGGACTGTTTTTTTTTTTTATTCAGGGTACTCGAATGTTTGGCTGGGGGGAAATTATTTCGTAACATTCTGAATCATGGACATGGCCATTCGCATGTGTCCTCTATCTAGTTCACAGGCCCCCCCTTGAGTCAGAGAATCGCCGAGACGAGATGCTGTGTCTGACACGTTAAAATCGATGAATCTGACGGTCCGGAGCATGGAGTCTTTCACAGACCTCCTGGCCGTAGAGCAACGAGCACTGCAGGACGAAGGTGACGCCCCTTCGGAAATCCTAACATGATCGTATAGTCTATTACCGCTACTTAGAAATCTATTTCTCACACCCCTGGCACCACTTCTGTCATGTCACCTCGTCATGGCATCACACTCACTCCTTGTCGCTGCTGGACGATGACGACTCGGAGTCTGACCCTTCAGCGCGTTTGCGCTTGCCACCAGTCGTCTGACAACCACCACTCGTCTGAGGACCAGGTGAGTCGGGCATCACCGACGCGTCCAGGCTCGCCGCAGCCCTCGCAGCATCCAGGCGTGCTTCTTCCGCATGGCCGCCTGTCAGACTTCTGACACGGCTGATCGCTCTGCGAGTGAAGCCATTGTTGACTCCTCTGACAATCTCCACCATAATCTGGAATGTCAGGGATTGGCGCAGTGTGTCTGATTGGCCCGGCAAGCAAAAGGCCACGTAGGGAACACACTGTCTGGCGGCTTGCAAGGCTGCCAAGCCCGGCCCGGGCGTGAAGTCGATGATCTTCCACGTGGCTGGCCGTCTGACGCCGTAGAGGTTGTACATCTCCGCCCAAAACATCTCTGACGGAGACCAGGCAAACCAAGTCATGGTTTGGTCTGACTTGACACTTTCCTCCGGCGTCGTCTCTGGCTCACCGTCCACAGTCTGACTGTCCGCCGCCTCACCCTCAGCCTTTGTGTCTGACTCGTCGCCTTCGTGGTCCTCATCCCCCGCGCCGGCAGCCATGTCGTGCTCCTCCTCTCTGGCGGACACGGCGGTGGAAGTCCCCACTGCCTTGGCTCAGCGTGTCTCGTCTGACAGCAATGCTCGCCTCGGCACCACTTCGAATGCTGAGGCCTTGGAGGCTGCGCGTGTAGTTGCTCCCCGGCAAGTCAAGGAACTTCCGCGGCCGAGTCTCTGTCTGACACTTTGTCTTACAGAGGATGAACAAGTTCTCGACAGGATCCGGCAAAGCAATCCGGCCTGTCTTACACGCCTTGGAGGAGTTCTTTCTGACGTAGCCGTCCTTGGTGAACTCGAGATTGTTGCAGCAGAGTCTGACTGGCGTGTTCATGAGCTTCTTCGGGTACTCTGAGTCCCCTTTCACAGCCTGTCTGACCTTGGAGTCTGGCAGGTCGCAGCGGCTAAGACTTTAACTAACACAGACCAGTTAACACAGACCAGTTCAATTAAATTCAACTCGACCCAGGTCTTGGAACGCATGGTGTGCAATCCAGCTGCCATGCGGGTCATCTTGCTGAAGTTGCTGGGACGGCGGGCATCTTTGAAAAGGAACATGTCGTTCTTCTGGAAGAGGCTCATCTCATGCCCACCCCCAATGTCTTTCTTCGGCAGCACCGCTTCCATAATGTTCTTGAAGTGGCTGTCGTCTAACTGCGGTAGCTGCCGCCAAGTCTTGCCAGCTAGGCAAGCACGGTCATACCGGCATGTGGAATCATAGATGTACACAGTTCTGTCTTCGGACGCAGCACCCGCAGCCGGCTTTGCGATGTCAGACACCATCTCGAACCATTTCGTGCTGTCTGGCTCCGACATGAAGGTCACAAAGGATGTCAGACCTCAGTCAGAAGTGCACACAACAGAGCTCGCTACCCCCTCTGCGAGAGACTGACAGAATCGGAAGCACAAGTCATCTTTGAGGCTGGCACGGGCGGAGGCATACGAGAACATGCTCTGCAGCGCTGACGGCGCAACATTGTTGAAGCTGTCCGTCGCCAACGGGGGCAGTACCAGCTTTGGGAACCATTCTGACAGCATCTGCATCACAACCTGGTTGTCTGCCACAAGATCCACATTTAGGTGGACTGTCTCTGAATTGGCACCACCTCATGCACGATGTTGGCAGGCTTGGCCGTGTCTTCCCCCATACGCGGGGTCTCCTGCGAGTCTGACACGGCATCCTCCACCTTCGTGTCAGGTTTCGGCTCAGGCTTCGGAGGCTGCATCTCCTCTTCATGCAGCTGGAGAACCTTGTCGAGGTCGAAGTAATCCTGCAAAAGCATGACAAGGTCTTACATGTCCAACTATCACAGCACATGACACCAGAATGCTCCTCCTGCAACAGCTCTGGCGCAGACAACAAGGCTTCAGCCGACATGTTGACATCTCTCGCCAACGATTTCAGCAAGATGTGGTCGGCATTGCCGTCATACAGCATCTGCAAGCCTCGGGTCATACAGATATAATGATTCAATTCATATTCAAACTCAGACACAAGAAACATCATACACATACAGCACTAGACAAGGTAGTGAAATAAGTGCAGCCAAACAACCCGTCGCAGCGGCCTGCACAGATGGTTTCGCAAACTTCTCCGAGAAGATTGGCGCCGTTGTCTTGCCAGGATCTGACAGCTCCATTTCCCTGCCACGAGGAAACATCCGATGAAAAGCTGTCCAATTGCCGAAAATCTCGTTGATCTCCTTGCATTGCAGCTTCCACGAGATGTAGTGGGAGATGCGACGAAGAGCCAAGAACGTCGGTACTGTCTTGCTTTTGGTGTCATCACGGATCGAGGCCGACAAGGTGTTTCTCAAGAGCCTGATATGGATGCCAGAGACAACGAACTCTAACAGCTTGTTCTGCAATGCCAAGTTCTTGGGCACGGATGTCTTGCCACAGATAGCATCCAAAGCCGTCCACTTGGCCAGAGGGTGTTGCTTGCTGAAAGCAAACTCCAAGCCGTCCAGCTGGTTTCTGCACTCAGGTGTAAGTCGTCTGACGATTTTCAGATGACATTCAACAGTCTTGGCACTGATCGACTCCTCGGCAAAATTCACCTTGCTGAACCACTGCGCCACGTCTGCTGCTGTGGAGGGCTTGTTCTGTCTCTTCAGCGACTCCTGCACTTCGTACGTCTGCAGACACTCCTTGTAGCCGAAGATCTGGCTGTTCAATGCATCTGCCTTCATGTCCTCCTCCAGCTGTCGTTTGGTCCTGGGTAGTCTGAGACAACACAATGTCTGTCACCGACAGCCTACGACGAATGACAAGAAGAACGATGCAACAGGTTCATGGCAAGCACGGGCTTCAATTGGGTTACAGCACCTCACCTTGCCAGCCGAGAGTCTGACCAAACTCATCATCAGACACCAGCAGCTTGAAGGTGACGGCAACACTGAGACTGGCCGTCTGGAAAGCCTTGATCGTCTCGTCTTTCTTGCCCCTGCGTGCCTGTGCGAAGGCATACTGCCATGCCATGCGAAACAGACTCTTGTCTGCCACTTCCCAATCACCAATTTCTGGCGGTTCTGACTTCGAGGTAGCACGGATCCTGAACTGACAGTGCACAGCCAGACACCCAACCTAGAAACAGCAGGCATAAAGAATTCAAACGAGAATCGTCGTAGCGTGCTTTGCCTCGCAAATCTTGCTGGGGTTCACGCCATCTGACGTGCAGAAATGATGCCGATACATTCTGAAAACGCTTCCCAGATTGGGCCAGAGACCGTCTGACTCGAATGCCTGGAATGCGAGTTTGGAATTGGAACGAGGGCCGTAAGCAGTCTGACGTGCACATTAATGTTCATTCTGACAGCTATCCCACATCCGTCTGACTCAGGCCGGGGCATCCAAGCCCAGCCAATGGAGCGGCACCGTGCACGTGTAGTGGGCTTTGCTTGCCATGTCTGACTGGTACCTCTTAGTGTCAAACGCATCAATGCCACCGAAGGGCTCGGGTTGAAGGTCTGACGATTCCATGCTCTCCAAGTAGTCTAACAGCGGGGACAAGACTTCCTTGGCCACGAGCTTCTGGTTAGTGCTGCCAACCCCTGCACTGTCTGACATCATCTTGGCCACATTGGCAGCCGCACGGTCTGACAAAGATTGCCGTGCCTTTGCTGGAGCGGCGGCGGCGTCTGACGGAGCACTGGCATTCATGGACACATCGGGGCGCCCTTGCGCTGCCTTCGGGGCATTGGCAGCTGGCGACGTCTTACCCTTTGCCCTCACTGCAGTAGCATTCGTCTTCGGTGTGGCCGGTTTTCGCGGTGGCATCTTGCAGCTGAAGCGGCTCAGCTGTTTTTATCGCCCTGCTGCCCCCGAACTTTGCTTGAGCAAACTGGTCTGACAGGAAAAGCACAATGCTTGCAAAAGAGCCGGCATTCAAGAGCTCACACATGTGGGCAGTCTCCAACCCGGCAGCATGAGCAGTCTGACTGTTTCATGATGTCACACAGCAGTGGCACACAGACACACACAAAAGGTTCGGTCCTGAAAGTCCAATGCCACATTGCCGGTCTGTCGTCACGCCAAAGTCTGTGGCCTGCAAGTGACATACATCTCAACGGGCAACAGACAAAGTATACAGGCAACATGCTCAAACCCAAGCTGTGGGACGCACTTTGGGCCTCCGGCTTCAGCAGGCCCAAAGTGCGTCCACGGCGCGCCGTGGACGCACTTTGGGGTCCATGAGGGGCCTGGCGGACACCGCGCGCCGTGGACGCACTTTGGATTTTGGGAGGTTTTGGGCTTCATGAGGCCTAAAGTGCGTCCACGGCGCGCCGTGGACGCACTTTGGGCCTCCTCAAGCCGGAGGCCCAAAGTGCGTCCCGCGGGTTGTCGTGTATCAATGCACAAGACTGGCTTTGGTGCGCTCGTGCCGCTTTTTTGGTTTCCCCGCGTTTGCCCCTGTCATATTTAGACACATCATGAGAGCTGAGCCCAGCCTCACATGGCTCAGGCTTGAATAAAACAAAGCCCACGCAGTGATCATGTGCGATCACTTGCAAAGTCTGGCTGCAAAGCATGGCTGTTGCAGCAGTCTGACTGTCAGCAGGTCACATCAATGCTAGCTGCATGTCAAGTGGAAGCAGTGTCTCACGCTCGGCGTCGATCTTCTGACGAAACACATTTGAACGGTGAAACACACTGTCCAGGAACAACTCGGCTCCTTGCTGCAGAGTCCGACACGCGTCAGGCTGCATGCGAAAACCTGGTTTCATTTCCTGGAGGATCTCGCGCATCACTTTCATCATCACGGTCTTTGGCAACAAGAAACGCTTGGTCCTGATGAGTCTGTCATCCAAGAGCTGTCTGACACTCCGCCCCTTGATTGCTGCAACCTTCTTTCTGTCAGCATTCTGGGCGGCACCTGTCGGGGTCAAATCCTCCAGGTCCAGGTCCACCTTCACAGCACGCTGGGCATTCTCGAGCTTCACAGCATTCGTCGTCTGACTCCGGGCTGCAGTGGAGCTTTTTGTCGTCCCTTTTTCTTGTTTCACACGAACCTTCGGACTCTTGGGTTCCAGGCGCTGAATCACCCGCATAGCTGGCAGTCTAACTATAGTAATGAGGAGCAGGCTAGCCTGGTTTGAGCCTAAGTCCTAGACATATTCAATCAATGGCCCAGCAGCCGAACATGTCAGGCTCTGCAGGCTGAAGCACCCTTGCCTTGCAGTTGCTGCGCAGCACGGAACGGCAAAACCAGAGACCTCGGCCAGAAAGAGATGACATTCAGTTAAATAAATTAACAGCAGGTCCTGCGGAGATTGCCAGACATCGCAAGCGCGCTGAGGCCAACTTTTTTCGGCCAGGAAGCCCTTCAGCCCTTGTGACGCGGACAGACACTGGTCTCTATAAAATTATGTACAGTCAGACACCGCTGCGGTTGGTGTCTGACGTGCTCCATTTCCCAGGTCGCTCCACCTCAGGTGTAGTCAGTGATGGCATCATGGCAGAAGACTGGCTCGAAGAAAAAGAGAAGACAGATTGAAGAGACGGTCTGGCCAAGCTGCACTGTGATCATTTCGAACATGTACTCCACATTGATTGGTTTGCCTGCTTTCTTGTTATCCCGCGATTTGTCCTTCTCCTTCGACTTCTTCGCTTTCTTGTCTGACATGAGGACCCAGGATCTCTTCTTTTGCCTCGGATGCACCACAAGGCCCATTGGGCAAGCACTGACACGACTGACACGACTGTCTGACATGTAATATTATATTGAAGATCCAAGTAGCAGCTTCTTACGGCACTCGCGGATCACCCACGCACAGTTCGCTGATGCAACCATATTGGCTGCAGCGACCACGTCTGACACCAGTGACCCGAACTTCTCTGACTCATGGCAAACCATTTCGCGTGGTATAGCCAAGGCACGAGCAAGCCGAAGCACAGGTTGCAGTGTCTGACGTGATCGCTTGCATGCCTCTAACCACTCAATGCCAGCGACCCAGCCACCCAAGAGCCGGGAAGTAAGGAGATATCCCGTCTGACATTCTGTCTGACGTTCGGTGGCATTGAGGCCATCCTGTGCGGCAATGGCAGATTCGTCACCAGGTGTGAACCAGACAATGTCTTTGAAGTGCAAGAGTTCGCGAAAATATTCCCTGTCTGACTTCCACACAGAGAACTTCACACCCAATCGCTGCAGAACCTGCTCCTCGTCTGACGACAAGGTAACGGCAGGTGGAAGCACACAACACGACGATCTGGACAGGCTTGCCCCCGTTCTCTCTGACCACTGCAAGTCACGACGCGAGAGATCTGCCATTTTTCTGGCATCCATCATACTCTGACCAAGCTTCAACGTCTCCTGAGCATGTTTGTCGGACTGGCCGTCGGTCATGACTTCCAGTGCCTTCCGCTTCTTTCCCTGCAGCACAGCAGTGTCATTAAAAACCATACTGTGACTCACAATGACACAGTCACTAGCTGACACATCGTCCGAGCCTGCAGGTCGGCTAGGGTGTTGCAGAGTTTGTTGAACTTCGCATTCTTCTTCTCCTCACATGAAGCCGCCGTGATTGCCTCCAAGCCGGCATCCTCCAATGTTTGATCCCCTTCTGACGTGGCCTGCTGCTTGATCAATTTCTGGATCTCTTCACGTCTTACACGCAGGAATCCTTGAACGCCTTTGGCTGCTGGCTCTTTCTTTGAGTGGACTTTCCGGGGAAGGTGAGGCGTCTTGCGTTGGTTCTTGGCATTGCCATACAGCTTTCGATACTGCGCCTGGCAGCGAAGGACCATGTCTGACACCGTATAGACACACATCCCATTGACCTGTCTGACAGGGGCGAGCTGTTCCGGGGAAGGACCGTCTAACAACACCTTCAGAAGGTCACGCAAGTGCTCGGCTTTGATGCGGCTTTTCAGCTGAAACAGCTGCATATAGCTGAAATCTTGCTCCACCTCTGACGAACTCACCCAACAGGAAAGCATGAAAGGAACCTCGGCGGCACTCCAGTTCGCAACTCAGAAGCTTCAAGTCTGACATCAGTCCAATGGCCGGCAAGCAACTATGTCTGACAAAGCCGGCAGCTTCTTGGGGCCCCAGTGTCTGAGGACCTCTCCCCAGTAGATCTCGGGGTCGGTGGACCCACGCCTGCAGGAAGAGCCAGTGACTGACTAAAACTTGAAATTAATTAAGCAAACACTCTCAGGCACTGGCCTGACACATGCCAAGGCAGTAGGTCTGGCAACCAGCATCTCTTTGACCAGCAGGCGCACCTGTTCAGCATTCATGCGTAATATTGAACTCGTTGTGACTACAAGAAACACCGTGATCATCCCGCCTCGACTTTGGCAATTTTGGCCAACGGGGCGAGAACTTCTGACCTGATCAATGAATCGCGACTGTAGCCTAGCTGTTACAAGAACACAGTTCAATCATAGTAATAAAATTTAAAAGCTTTTGTAAAACATAAAAGGCCAGGTGCAGGGCTTCGTCATCTCGAGAAGCCAACCAGTGACTAACATCGAACGGTTCGAAAGCTTCCCCCAGACCGGCCTCCTGCTCTGACGCAACTCCTTTCAAGAACGCATTCGAGAGGTTTGCAATGGAACCCAGGCCATCGGCAATCAGCGTCCGCAGATCCAAGCCATGACCTGGGCTGTGAACGAAGTTCTGAATGACATTGAATATTTTAATTTTAATATAATATTATAGTTAAGTTAATAATAAGCAGTGGAG